CATATGCCTTTTCTCTTATGAAACCGATTCATGAAATCATACAGCAAGTTTGGTTGGGTTTTGTTATTTTATAACAGTTTAAGCGAATTTCCCATATAGGGAATAAGCTATTACCGTAGTACTAATGGTAAGACCTGGACCCAAGACTGATTTAATTTTTCATTTTGAGGTCCCTAGAGGCTAAAAACACCATCCGTTCAACTTTATATATATATATATATATATATTGTAAGAAAGGGGATTAACCCCGTACCCACGGTGCTCATCTATGCAGACACTCTGTTCACATTACACTTAGTCGACCAGTTGGTGTGAACAGAGTTGAACAGTAGCATGAGCATCGATTTACAAATTCCTTTCCCAAATGATGTGAGCTAGGCGATGACCGGTAGGGCTGTCTTCCAAGAAACATCATTAACCTATAAGCCACACACCCTATCAGAAATCAGCCAATGAGAAGGGCTAATGAAGAAGATGGAGGGGTCAGGAGTCTCGGAGCTGGAGGACCTGGAGAGGACAATCGGGGAGATCACCACGGGCCACGAGACCAAGAAGATCAGGAGTTTCGGAGTGCGTGTATCGGTGCGTGTGCTTCTGGGACAATGAACAGTATGTAAAAAGAATAAAATACATAACTAAATTTTTGTAAAACAAACAAGTCATGTAATTTGTCAGTAACTAATTCTTTTAAATTTTCAATTGATTTTCTTTTCTTGTAAATTTAACGTTGTAAATTAATTTAACTTACTATTTTTGTTTTTTGCCTTTTCGAAGTTTTCTTTTGCTGTTGTTACACTTTGTAACTTTTGTAGTTTTTCTAAATTTAAATTTTGTTCATTACACGTTGAGTAACACCTGCTATTTTTCCCGAGTCCCTGGAGTCAAACCTTTAATTTAAGACCTCTTTACCTTTCTGCGACTTACCAGGCGTCCACAATTTTCTGGTAAAAATGTTGTCTTACAGAATCCTACTAATATTATAAATGAGAAAGTTTGGATGTATGGATGTATGGATGTATGTTTGTGACAAGTGAACGCGAAAAATACTGGTCGGATTGGGCTGAAATTTGGCATGATGATAGCTCACATTCCCGATTAACATATAGGCATATTCTTATTTCAAAAATCCTTTCGGGCTCCGCCCCAGTGGCTCTGGAGTTTACCATGTTAACCTTATGAGAAATGGAATTATTGAATCTTAACAGCTGTTTCAATTAAACAAGTTGGTTCTGTTCTATGATGTTCAATAGCATTAAAGTTACAAGGATTACCAACAGGGTGCAACACTATTATTTCTTTTACATTTATGACAACAGCTAATTTGCAACCAAAAGGTGAGTGAGCGTAGCGAACGAACTTCAACCTGGAGGCGAGTTAGCGTAGCGAACGAGCTAACCTGAAGGCAAGTGAGCGCAGCGAACGAGCTCCAACCTAAAGGTGAGTGAGCGTAGCGAACGAGCTCCAACCTAAAGGTGAGTGAGCGTAGCGAACAAACTTCAACCAGGACGTGATTGAGCCATGCGAACGAGATAATCTTGAAAATTAAGAAGCTAAACGGGGCAAAGCCCGCGGGTTACAGCTAGTTATATATAAGGATGAGAAAGTTTGGATGTATGGATGTATGTTTGTGACAAGTAAACGCGAAAAATACTGGTCGGATCGGGCTGAAATTTGGTGTGATGATAGTTCACATTCCCGATTAACATATGGACGCATTCTTATCTCAAAAGTCCTTTCGGGCTCCACCCCAGTGGCCCTTTAGTTTCCCATGTTAACCTTATGAGTAATCATATTTAAAAGGAATAAAATAATTTTGTCAGCTGTTTCAACTACACAAAATGGTTCTATGATATTAAATAGCATTAAAAAGTTATAAGGTTTACCAACAGGGTGCAGTACTATTAACTTTTTTGCATTTTGTGTCCTCTTCCCGTTGCAAAGCACGGGTACAACAGCTAGTTATATATGTATTTGAAACCTTCAAAGTCATTTTTATAGTCAGTTAGCATGCGCTTGTAATCAATCTAGTTTTGAGTCTCCCCTATTTTATTCGTAAATATACTTACAATTTAACAAATGTTCAAATGTCTCACATTGTTTCAAACCACTAATACTTTATACGGTTTATATGGATGGGTATAAATTTAATCTACATTTTTAATAACTTCGTATACATTTGTAATACAATATCAACAATTTGATTACCTGCGTTATCGCAACCTGCATCATAACACTGCATCAGAGAATATCGATAAGACTATACGATACATAGTATATATCGATTAGTTAATCGCAAAAAACTCAATTAGAATTGAGTATTGAGTTCAGTCAGTTCGTCAGTTGGAGTAGAATTGTTGGTATAGCTAGCAGCTAGCAGAAATAAGTAATCGGTATAACAGTGACTAGTGGGTGTCTTCTACATCTCCAAGCTATGTAATGTGGACGACTGTGGTCAAGTCTGACTCCAGCTCAGAACACAGAGTTGTTGACGGAACTGTTGTTCACAACATCGTCCTCAACAACTGTCCAGAGGTCCACATCGGCCCCAAGTTTGTACACAACCACAACAACAACATAACCATCAACAACGGAGTCGTGGACAGTGATAAAAATGTTAATTCTCCGTGTTCTGTGGTAAAAAAATGTAAGTTTTTTATATTTTAATCTAGTAGTAAAAGTGCAAAGGACGAATTGTTTATCCTTTGATATTACAATGATTCACTACTGTTCAAAACATAGTGAGCTAACTCTTGTAGTTTTTGTTTGCCGTTTGTGATGAGCTGCTTGTTTTAATCTTTTCTTGGAAAACAAAAATATAACTGGAATAATTGAATTACATCATTGCCGTCGCCTATGATGACGTCATGCCTGAGGAGCATTACGGCCTGTTTATATAGTGTGGCCTTGCCTACTGCCATGTTAATAATAACAGTAAACATTGCACATACACTCCATTATGAATTGGTGCAACAGCTGTTTCAGCAGGCCAGGCAATTACATATACTCTATCAGTTTACTTTATCAGTTGTTAACATTTGTATTGTTGAACTGCAAAAGCAGCTGCTTTAAATTATAAAGATAAATGGTAAAGAAACACTAGTGCGCTACGTGGAAAAATTAAGAACTGATTGAGAGCAAAGAAAAATCGGCTGATCGGTTTCCCTTGCTTTAAACTACTTGGGAAACAGTTACTTTCTTTTATATCAGCTGTCATTAGAAAAGGTAACTCTCTGTAAAGAGTAGGAATTTTTTTTCCAGGGATGAAAGTTTTCATCACTGGTTTTGCTCCTTAGCTTTATTCCTAAAATCTTGAAATATTTTATATTATCATCTAAGCTGTACTGTACAATGTTAAATTTTCTATGACCTAAGATCAGAAAAGGTTTGCAGGTATGACAATTTCTAAAGGGATTAGATTTATATTCTGTGGAACATCCATCCTATTCATAATTTTAATAATCATCTCCACAATATTTCTAATGAAGCCAAAAGAACCTGACTATCCACCTGAAAATATTGGTAAGTTATAATATTTGTTTTGATGTACATAAACAACCGTATTTTAATCCATTATATTTGATAATACCATGTTTTTACTCGTTAATTTAAACACCATTTTGGTTAGTATTTTGGTGCCGGGATGAATACACTCTACATATTAAATTAACATAAAAACCATGAAGTAAATGTAATTTAGATGAAGTTTTATCTCAGTTTATTGAACGGAAGAAATCAATAATAATATTTTATTAGCCCAGTAAATTCTTTTCTTGCTTGACATTGGGAGATGATGTTTGACGTTTTAGAGATAGTTTATACATTGAATTGTAATAATTAAATAATCTGATTGCCAAAAAAATTGTAATCCATGTTACATTGTACGCAAAACACATTACACCCAGTTATTATGAAGCTAAAAAATTTGCTTGTATCCACTGAGGGGACTTTCCATTCCTCCATTTTCCATGGTCTGTGATGTGATTTAAGTATGTTATCTTATCTTGCTAATATTAGTACCTGGGGACTGAGCTTTGCTCGGGGAAAATCATTAGTTTACTCTGAAAGCAGTAGTTTATTATTGCAGATACATTACTCCACTCCCTGTCCTCTCCCATAACTGCAATAAGCAATATCATGTTTTCAAACTTGTCAGATTTTTAAGGTTAAATCAAATGCTAAACAAACAAACTATAATGTATTTGTGACAATAGATACTGTGCATTGAAAAATATAACTTACTTTATAAAATTACTCTACTTTTATGAAATCGCTTTACCATAAGAGAATATTTACTGAAAATAGAGAAATAGGTTGGGATATAATAATGAGATATGTTTCGTTTGAAAAACTCTTAACGTATATATTGTAGCCCTAGCCCTAGGGGGTTTGAAGTAACACTTGTCATAATTAAAAATCTCGAGATAAGGAGAACGAGAGAGGCATTTATAGGCCAACATATGACCCATTTAAATTATAATTAACAGCTAATCGTATTGAAAATAATTCACCTAAGGAATCAGATAAGTTCACCAGGTCCGGTAACAAACAGGGCACGTGAAAGACCTAAAAACAAGAGTCAAGGTTGGTTAATAAAATCATAAAATGCAGTAAATACTCATGTTTTATAAATACATACAGCTTATCACAATAAATAAATAAATAAATTCAAAAATTAAAATTCCTTAGTAGATACAATCTTTGTCAATGATACAATACGGCCGCTAATAGAACAATTAAAACACCTAAAAACCACAAAATATCACAATGTCAAACATATTACATCCATAATAATGTAAATAAGTCTTGTTGTTTGTGATGAGTCTGTATGTTTTTTTTTATTTAACCTCAAAATTTGACGCGTATGAACACACGATCACACAACAGACGAAGAAGTTCATCGCCAAAGATAGTCCACCTGCTAAACTTAACTGCTTCTAGCTAAAAAGCTGCTTCTAGTTCAACTGTACTTATAAATACTGTCAAAATCTACTTATGTTCAAATGATTTCAGAGGACTACCCATTGGTCGTCACAAGAGAGACATGGGGAGCCGCCCCTCCATGTGTAGAATTGTCGAACAACACGGTCCCTCTAGAACGAGTTATCTTCATCCACGCGGCTGGTGGGGGAACCTGCAATAACTTTTCATCCTGCAGGAATATTATGTTGGAACTTCAAGACATCGCTAAAAAAAACTGTGGTCCTGACACTTTAGAAGACATTGTGTACAACTTTGTGATCGTAAGTGATGGACATATTTTCGTAGGTCGTGGTTGGGACAAAATAGGAGCACATACTTATGGGAGTAATACAGGTAGTTTAGGAGTTGCATTCATTGGGGACTTCCGAAGAGATGAACCCAGCGAAATGATGCTGAACTCAGCAAAAACATTACTTGAGTTTGCAGTCGCTAGGTCCAAGTTGAAAAAAGATTATCAGTTGTACGGTCATTGCCAACGTCAATCAGGGTTTCCTTACAGTCCTGGAAAGAATGTAATGAAACACATCCAGTATTGGCCGCACTGGAACAATACGAAAGTGAAGAATTGTGCTGAGCCATCTGGTATAGTATTTCTTTAGAAACTTCATAATTAAATTATATCCCGAAGAATTTGTAATTCTCAAAATTGTGAACTGTTTCTTCTTTATACATTGGGCCATGACTTTAACGATTCAATCAGAGCATAGCTGTAGATAATGAGTGTAAATATAATTATGTGAATCTATTTAAATAATTGGTAAGAAGAATATATTATTAAGAATAAAAATATAAAAAATATTGTATATTTATTTATACATCCACACTTTGATAGTGAGAAATTATAGCCTACATATACCAAATTTTCCTGTTTTAAGGTCAAGAGTACCTTGCTTTGTCTCACTTCAGTTCTAGATATTTCTTTTAGTGTAAGACTATATAACAGTCATTTGTGTAACTATTGGGCCAAGGCAGTTTACACTCGCATTACACATTATATTTTTCCTACAAATACTATAAAGCATTAAAAATAATTAGTCTTTCAAACACTGAACAACACGTTTTTAGGTTAGGTTAAATCCAAACAATTAACGAAATGGGAAACGCTGCACCAGCTGATCGTAGTCGTAGTATCTTTAAGTGTTGCTAACCTTTTTCCAAGCGTACACGGATTATGTGCATAATAAAAGCACGCTGTTTTGTGTTGTTTGGTTGGAATACTGGTTTGCGACAGAATAAAAACAGTGCGATAAAGTAAAAATTGTGCAGCAAAGTAAGTAAATACAGCAATTAGCAGTTTGCTGTCAGTACCAGCTTGCTGTTGTGTGTTGTGTATCAGTGCAAGGAAGCCCACTTTGTCGGGTAACTGTAGGAAAAGGACATTTTATTGGTGTTTTAAACAGCCCGTTTTAACGAGTTTTTGGGGACGTCGGTTTAACCAGAAAACCCGCTATCCGGACTGGCCTCGGTCCCGAGGAGTCCGGATAAGAGAAAGTGTACTGTAGTATGTTACCAAGTAGCCTACCCTCGTAATCATATGTATTTGAAACTTGTAGAAATATCTTTTAAGACATTTTATTATTTTATAGTAAGTTATTGATAAGAATGCACTTAAATCAATCCAATTTTGATCCCCTGTTTTACTCATAAAAAATTACATTTTAACAAATTTCCAAATCTCTACATTGTTTCAAATAGCTAATACTTTATCCGGTTTATTTGGATGGATATTAATTCAAGATACATTTTAAATAACTTCGTATACATTTGTAATACAATATCAACAAATCAATTAGGATCTACCTGCGGTCTTTTAACCAGAACAGAATAATATATACATACACATGGTCACTTCTTTATTCAAAGCAGCAATTTATTATTTTAAAACAATTAAGTTTTACTGTATTTATGTTTTAAACTACTTTATCAGGTAAAGGTGGACAATCTTGACATTAAAACTGTCTCTCTGAGTGATTTCGTTTGCATTATTCTTTGATGAATATGTCTAAAATATCAGTGGGAACTAATTTACAGCCACCTCTAGGCTGCAATCCTACAGCTCATGGTTCATGGCAGCACACTTCAATGTATAAAATCGCAGCAATATCTGTAGACTACTAATTGATCCGTTGTTGGGATTTCCCGCAATCCCCTCCAACTATCGTTATCGCGGCCTTGATTCTCGCCTGCATCACAACACTGTATCAGAGAATATCGATAAGACTATCCGATACTGTGATCCGATACACCGATTCAATGGAGTTTCAATATCGTCATGGCGATACGATATTGTTTTTTCATTCACTATTCATTTGCTGCTCAGTGTTCACTGACACGCCAACTCTGGTCAACTAAACATTACCTTTTGCAGTTACTTATATTTTGAAATACTATGATTACACAACTGATTTAAAATATTTAAATGAACGTACTTGTCTAGTTTTTGGTTGAAACATGTACATAAGACAACGGAAAAGTGTGTTCTCGTATGGCAATGTTAAATGCCATTCCTGTAATTTTTTGTTGCCTTGTCAATTGAACAAGAACAAGAATTCTTTGGTGGGCTCCAAATACTTAATCTAATTTCGGTACTTTTCTGTTATAGGTACAGTACCAACCACACAAGGTTACTTTAGGTTAGGTTAGGAAAGATTTTAAGTGAAACTAAATGTATAGTTTAGTGTACAAATATCCTAACATAACATGGTGTACTCTCTATAGCAGAAAATTACCCTATTTTCTAACCTAAAACAATAGGTACTTGTTAGGTACAAAAATTAGGAATAGTGAGGCATGTAAATTACGGCATGTAAACAAAATTTCAAACCACTTTGAGGACCTCTGCTCGGCGCAGCTGCGATACCAGTGGGAGATCACTAGGTTCAGGTATCAAGTAATGCGAATGATTAATTCGAATGAAATGTCAAATCACACATCGATGTTGCAAACATCGATAATATAATCGCAAACACTCAGTCCAGTCGTCAGTTAAAGCAAAAGCAGTCAGTAATCAGTTAACAGTGACTAGTGAGTGTATTCTACATTTTCAAGCTATGTAATGTGGACGACTGTGGTCAAGTCTGACTCCAGCTCAGAACAAAAAGTTGTTGGCGGAAGTGTTGTTCCCCACAACATCGTCCTCAACAACTGCCCAGAGGTCCACATCGGCCCCAAGTTTGTACACAACAACAACATCACCATCAACAACGGAGTCGTGGACAGTGATGAAAATGTCAAGTCTCTGTGTTCTGTGGTAAAAAAATGTAAGTCTTCTCCAATTTTAACCTAGTAATGAAAGTGCAAAGAACGTATCTCTTGCCCTATAATATTGCATTACACAATGATTCACTGCTGTTTAAAACAGAGCTAACTCTTGTAGTCAAATTGTTTTGAAGATTTTCCTTTTAGTTGCATACTTTGAAGTAAAATAATATTTTGTTTTTGCTTTGTATTTTTTTCAAGAGCTTTGTATCTACAGTGTTTGTCCTTTGTATTGTAAAAATGTATTTTTCTTTTTGCTTTTGTTTGTACAAACTCTGTAGTTTTTGTGTTTTGCTATGTTTGAACTGTGCCATATCTTCTCAATTACATTTCGATTGTAATTTCATAACGTGATTTTCTTTGTACTTTCTTGCAAGTGGGGTTTAACTTGTCTATATACATAATTTCGTCTTTTTTACATTATTTTGATAGTTTATATTCTGTCAAAGGCAATATAATATTGTACTTGACTAAAATGCCACAATTTTTTGACACAAGACACTGAGGTATAATAGTAAAAGTTAGTTTCACATGTAAGCCGAAACCGAGGGCGGGACTAACTTGAGCAAGTGCCACAAAATCACGATTACATATCACCAATATTTTTTATCGTGACGCAAAAGTACTCTCAAGCAGAATAACAGACAAAAATTTAAAATATTATTTTTTCCAATTTACAAAAAAAGCAATAATGTACAGGGTGGTAATAAAGTCCGAAGACAGTTAAATATTTTCTAAACAACAACAGATAACTCAATAAGATTTGGTACATCAACACCACACTTAAAAATCTACTTTTTTTTTGGAAATATCAATTTTTTGTCGTATCATGGGGACATCCCGCAAGGAGTCAGAAGGAAATCTTAAATAGAAGCATAGGTTGACATGTACATCAAATTAAAGGTGTTTACTAGCAGAATATAATGCAGCAAATTTGAACTCAAACGGACAACCGAGCCAAGAATGACAGTTGTCTAAAGATTCATTTAATTTGCATTGCTGTTATACGCTTACTCCTCAGGGGCCACAAGCCCTAGGAATCGGAAGAAAATTGTTAACGTAAGCATAGGTCGATATGCACATCAAATTAAAGGTCTTCACTAGTAGATTACAATGCCGTAAACTCAAGCTCAAAAGAACGCCTGAGTAAAAAATGGCACTCGTTCAAAGATTCAAAATGGCAGATTCAAGAAATCTTTGAACGGTTGCCATTTTGCGCAGGATCAACCTTTTGAAGTGCGATTTGCGGCATTGTATTCTACTAAAAAAGACCTTTCATTTGATGTGCATATTGACCTACGCTTTCATTTAAGATTTCCTTCCGACTCCTTGTGGGCCGTCCCCCTGAAGAGTTATTGGATCACTGAATATGTGTTAAGATAAAATTGTATGCTCTGTAACTTTGTATCATAAGTATTGTAGCTCTATCTAAATTATTTTTTTTATTTAACTGTCTTCGGACTTTATTACCACCCTGTATAGCAAACCAACATAACAACGTCAACATTAGAAGTTCAACATTATGTTTATTGTTAAGTAAACACACACTTCAAGCTAAATCAGATTAAAACTAGCTTAATAAGCATAATAATAATAATATGCCTACATTAGTATTTCCATAACCTCCTGCTCCTGTAATACAAGGCCGCGGGTTTGGTGTGTGGTGACGTCGCACCTGCCCCTATTGCCATGATAATAACAGTAATAACAAACGTAAACAAACATTGCGCAGACTCTCCATTATGATTAGTGTAACAGCTGTTTTGTCAGGCCCGGCCATGCAATATCTGTTTACATTTGTATTGTTGCACTGCAAAAACAGCTGCTTTAAATTTATAAAGATAAATGGTAAAAAAAAAACACTAATTAAGAACTGGTTTAGGGCAAGGGAAAATCAGCTGATCGGCTTCCCTTGCTCTAAATTAGAGCTTGGGAAACAGTTACTTTCTTTTATATCAGCTGGCATTGAAAATAGCTACTCTCTTTAAAGACTGGGATTTTTTTCTCTAGGGAAAAAGTTTACAGCACTAGATTTAATCCTTAGCTTTATTCCTAAAGTCTTGAAATATTTTATGGTATCAACTAATCTATACTTTGTTAAATTTTCTATGGCCTAAGATCAGTAAATGTTTGGAGGTACTTTGTTCAATTTTCTATGGCCTAAGATCAGTAAATGTTTGCAGGTATGACAATTTCTAATGGGATTGGATTAATAATCTATGGAACATCCTTCCTTTTCATAATTTTAATAATCATCTCCACAATATTTCTAATTATACAAAAAGAACCTAGCAGACCTGTCTTTCCACCTGAAAATAGCGGTAAGTTACAATATTTTTTTCATGTCCATAAAAACTGTATTTTAATCCATTAGATTTTATAATACCATGTTTTTTACTTGTAAATTTAAACACAGTTTTTTGGTTAGTATTTTGGTACTGGGATGAATTTGCTCTAATTGACATAAAAACCATAAATTATATGTAATTTTGAATTAGTTTTATCTCAGTTTATTTAACTGATGAAATCAATTATATTTCATTAACCCAGTAAATTACCTGTATAAACATTAGTATATTTCATATCAAAGGCTAAAATGAGGTCTTGTCTTGCGTGACATTGGGAGATCGTTTTAGAGCTTATAGTTTATACATTGAATTGCAATAATTAAATCTGATCAAATTATTAAATCTGATTGCCAAACACATTGTAATCAAGCTAAACAATTTGCTTGTATCCACTGAGGAGGCTTTCCTTTCCACCGCATTTCCCATGGTCTGTGATATATGTTCCAATAATCACATCCAAGACGATTTGAAGTTTAAGGGCGCTGAGATGTTTTAGCACTATACCGTTTGCTAAGTTCTAAGATCTAATGTACTCGTTGCATGCCTCAAGACAGTTCTTCAGATTACTGTTAGTATTCTTGAGCTTTATTCCTTCTTGCACCAGTTAGCAAATTACACCTGTTCTCAAGCAGATAGTTACATTTCAATTCTGAAAATAGTTCTTCAGATAAACTGATTTAGCCTCAGAGCAATCGTGAAACCATGTGGGCCTAACGCCCTACTCCTACTGTTGATTTAATCATTGTTTTTAATCAGAATATGCTTGGGTAAGTGATTCCACCATGCTTTCTTTACCCCACTGTCGTTAGAAGCAGGTGGTGGTGGATAGTATAGAAGAAGTCGATTGTACTTCTCTGTGCTGACAGTGGTAGAGTTACTGATTTTCTGCCTGCTCACAATAATGCCTGAACCTCCTCTTATGTTATATACATAGGCTATATATTATATTTTACCATTGTAGTCCTATGTAAGACTACTCTGTAGGCCTATGTAAAACTACTCTAAGCTAAGCTCATGTGTGTTCTTCTTGTTCAATACTACTTCCGTGTCATCTCCAAAATGTAGCTTTGTGCTAAGTAGTCTGTTGATTTTATTATCAAAATAAATCTTTTAAATTTACTTTGTGTAGTTATTATTTAGAAGCCCAAGAAGAACTAAGACTTACCTAGGCCGCAATGTCTAAAATTTTTCACTATGTTTGTGCAAGTCTGAAGATGAACCGCCATTCAGGTGACTTAGGGAGTGGTTTTTGATGGGAAATGTACCAATAACTCCCGTTACATAAAACAAAATAGTATTACCAAAAATCAATTTCAACTAAAAAATCAGACATTTTTAGCCATGGAGCTGTACACGGCTAAGCACCATGTATTGTAGTGGAAGTGTTTTTAAAAGTGGCTATTCCTGTGTTCAGTAGACGTTTCAATGTGGGTCTAAGAAGAAAGTCCTAATTTGAAACTATGGGTGGGTTTAGAGCCAATAGTTCAGCATTGAAACTAAAATCAACAGGCCATCCAAGGTCAGCCCGGATGCCAGAGTCAAGAGAGTGAGGAAGACTGTGTGGTGTGGTTGAAAATGGGATTCAATTCAATTCAATTCAATTCAATTCAATTATTTAAGATGGGGACGCCACTATGTGCGTATTTTAACCCAAATATGAGTGAAGGATGAGTGTAGGATGAGTGGCGCGATCTTGTAGTCTTGTTAGTGACTAAGGCCGACATGTTCCTTAGACACAGCTGTTAATTAATAGCCCATACAGCTAATGGCAACTAAGGGACCTACAGTTTATAGTGGAATCCGAACCACATTTTTCCTTGTAATTTACGAATTGGTCTAATTATCAGGATAATACTGCGGATAGTCGTAGTACTCACTAGTGCGGACGTTAATCCACACCAGGGAGCATCGCATCCACAGTGCATCCCTATAAATATCCACAATTCGTGACCTCCCAGTAGCTGGATTACAGGACTCGCTCATAATGACAATTTGGTGACGTGAAATCAAATCAATTAATTGTTCTGAAATGAGATGTGCTTTGCATAACGACTGGGCTTCAACTGTACCCGACTGTCATTTTGTATGAATGAAAGTGCAGGTCGTATCGTAATACTCTTCTACCGAGTGGCCAGACATATGCACTGTGCAGAGCTGCAGCTTATTCACGAGCAGGCCGCTAAGAACTAGCTTTCACAGATTCACTCACTCTCTCGACGTTCTGTGGCGTCCGGGCTGACCTTGATTACAAATATTGCATCCACATTTTGGTTGAAGGTAAAATTTTAGAAGTTTGCAAAATGTTTGCATCTTGTATGAGCAATGTACAAATGTCAACCCTTTGGTTTGATAGGTTCATCTGAATGTGTGAAACGTTCCATGTTGGTTTTAAATACCTTTCAGTACATTCAGTCTTTTAAAATGATTATTGTACTAAGAGCTGAGCCAGTATCCAATTGTTTCATATTGCTTCCATCGGTACAATTTTGCCTTCAATCAATGTGCCAAGAAAATGTTTTTTCTTTATGTCTATCACTTTCTGAACTTTCTTAGAACTTTCTGCCTGTGTCCAAATCCTCTCAAGTCTCATTTCGCTTTAAATTTCAGTGTACCTGGGTCATTTTTGTAAGTAGACACTTGCAATGTGACCAATTTTAGTAAATTATATTCTGCATCTATGAATGTATACATTTGTTAGTTCAGTGAGAAAGATAACCATGCACCTCACTCCATGATACAAAACCTTCATTCATATGCATGTTAAAATACCAGTTGTATCACCATCTCAATTTAACTACAAATGTGAAAGTAAGGGTATTTGTGAGTATGTCACATATGGTAAATCACATAAAAACTATTGGACAAATTGAATTTATAAATATGTTCAAATGATTTCAGAGGACTACCCGTTGGATAAAAGATTCGTCACAAGAGAGAAATGGGGAGCCGCCCCTCCATGTAAAGAATTGTCGAACAACACGGTCCCTGTAGAACGAGTTATTTTCATCCACACGGCTGGTGGGGGAACCTGCAATAACTTTGCATCCTGCAGGAATATTATGTTGGAACTTCAAGACATTGGTAAAAAAGACTGTGGTCCTAAAACTTACGAAGACATCATGTACAACTTTGTGATCGGAAGTGATGGACATATCTTCGTAGGTCGTGGTTGGGACAAAATAGGAGCACATACTTATGGGAGTAATACAGGGAGTTTAGGAGTTGCATTCATTGGGGACTTCCGAAGAGATGAACCCAGCGAAATGATGCTGAACTCGGCAAAAACATTACTTGAGTTTGCAGTCGCTAGGTCCAAGTTGAAAAAAGATTATCAGTTGTACGGTCATTGTCAACGTCACTCAGGGTTTCCTTACAGTCCTGGAAAGAATGTAATGAAACATATCCAGTATTGGCCGCACTGGGAAAAAACGAACGTGGAAAATTGTGCTGATCTGGTATAGTACTTCACAAAGAAACTTCTTAACTAAATTATATCCCGAAGCATTTGCAATTCTCAAAATTGTGAACTGTTTCTTCTTCATACATTGGGCCATGACATTATTATTAACAATTCAATCTCAGTAAATATAATTATGTGAATCTGTTTAAATAATTAGTAAGAAGGATATATTGTTAAGAATAAAACCTTTTAAAAAAATATTATATATTATTTATGTTTGTAAGCATTGAATGTGAGAAATTATAGCCTACACATTATACAAAATTTTCCTATTTTAAGGTTGAGTGTACCTTGCTTGTCTCAACTAAAACTTCAGTTCTAGATATTTTTTTAGTGTAAGACTAAATTACTTACTTAATTCCCGTCACAGTTCAACAACGGCTCAAATCCCATTGATGAGATGTGACAGGAATTACAAAAGTAATTTAGTCTTGCATTATGTCCAACAGCTCAGGGGATAGAAACTAGAAACATAGATATTAATTCCTTTTAGGTTTTTCTCAATTTTTCTTTAGTTAGTTGAAATCCTTTTTTTACAAATAATTCAACAGTTGTTATATATGGTTTGAGTCTTCTTAGAATATTGCTAATCCCTGGATTGGACCTGGGATGCTAAATTAAATTGGTTATTTTAATAATTAAATCTCATAAATAAAAAGAACTTATCAGGGTATAAATCTTTAAGTCCCTGCAAGGTAAAGCTTAACGCTAAAATATGGACGAAGAAAACCATGAAATATAACTTAAACTTTTATTAACACAAAATCCAAACAAGAAATTTACACAAAATAAACCGTCAAATCTGTATAAATATTTTACAATTATCGTACAAAGTATGAAACATTCGGGACACAAGGTCAACACATATTTTGTTATTAGGTAACACTACACAACATTAATTTATTTGATTTTTCATGGCCACCGATACAATACTTGCTTACAATATGTATGTATATGATATTATTTTTAATATGTTTAATCTTAATGTATTACTACACTTTAAATATTAATCATACATCATTATAAAATAAATAAACAATGAAAAAGTAGTCAGTACCGTTAGTCAGGAGATGCTACCCTTCACATAGATGCTAGCCAATGGATGTTCTCCTGACTCCACAGTAGGTTGTTTTATAAGTTACTATAATTTAATTTTGTTCAGAAAAAATAAAGAAAACCTTATTTGTACAGTTAGTTGTTCATCTTAATGCTTCTGTAGTTTAAATGCTAAAGCTAGTAAAGTTAACTACAAACATAATTCTTATGGATATTAGAGATCTGGTGTTTCTGTTAATTTTGTAATACTATTGTCATATTATGTGAACTCCACTCTTGTTATCATATTATGTCCACATGGGTGCTCTAGTAGTTTTATTGAGCAACTTAATCGTAGATTTTGTATAACATTACTAGATAGCTGTGAGTTGGTTACAACTTCATTCTAAGGAAGCTTGATTTTACAATTGCAAAATTCAAGTTTCTATATGTCGTTTGAGGGTCAATAATTTATGTTTTAAATCAATCAACAGATTAGCGTTTAAAAAACAAGACTAGTGTTTTCTCCTGTTGAAAAGTGTTATTAAATTACTCTGGCATTACCCCTTTGTTGATAAAGGTAAATTAACAATAATAACAATAGTTGACAACTTTTAGCAATCAGAACAAGTAGAAAATTGGATGATATTAAATAACAATTTTCTAATGTTGTGTGTGGAAGGGATTTTTTACTTAATTCATATTTTTTTCCCCTGACAAGATTTACCATGTTTTTCTTTACGAAGGTGGAACCCAATATAGGTTTTGAATCAGCAAGTTGTAGAAATATTTACTTTTGGTGGGATTTGTACCTTTAAGTTTGGAGCTATAGTCTCGTTTGTCTATGCAGGACTCGCCCTCTAAAACATACTACTTTGAAAAGCTTCTATTTATTTTAGTAAGATGTATACTTCAGAACATTCATACGCTTGTTTTATGAAAGGCGTCCCACGTAGCAGGTCCTGAGGAGCAAAACTAGAAGGAATTTGCACATGTAAAATGTAAAATGTCTTTTGCAACCACTTTTTTATTTGGTGGTGAGTGAGAGTTGTAACAAGACCAGGGTTTGGAAAATAGATACTTTTTTTTAAAGTACAAATTTTATGGTTGTGCTCGAACATGGGAGGTTAGACATAAAAGATAAACACGAAAATTTAACTCTATTTTAGGGAACAAGTTACAGACTTGGATGCTGCTTTTCAATTAAATTTTTTATATTATTCATTGTGACCACAGTTCTTGGTATGACAACTAGTTCCATTCCTTAGAACTACATCAGGTCATTTTTATGCAACCACATCATCAATGTATTAATACATTGTGGGTGTCAATTGATTCTTTAAAAAACTGTCACAATCACAATTAAAACTTGTCATGTAAAATTGAATAAAATTTATGTTTTTACATATTAAGTAAGGAATTGTCACAAAGGTGCATGAAAGCTCATTTTTAACTGAATAGAACGAAGAGTGGATGGCGTTTATCGCAGAACGTTATGCATAAAACCAACCTTAGACATTGTAATTATTTCTGTAAAGTTACATTTTAAACTATTTTGGGTTATTCAACATTTACATGAATCAAAGCACTAATAGAGGTTTAGCCATAGTTATCTATAACGACTAATATCAAAACATACAGGTAGAATTTTTGTGGTAGTGTTATAGAATCAAATTTAAAAGGTAAATAGTTAGAGAAAAAAAATATTAAAGGTTGCAGATACATGTTAAAACTTAGTATAAACTATCTGAAAGCTCTTAATTTTTAAGTACAATACTAGTTGTTTAGGTATAGATAAGTACATAATTAAGGACATGAGTTAAAATATATTAAAAACAATAAACCATACATTGTGAGGAACAAATAGATTACTAACCGTTTAAATATATTTGAGAGTTAAAACAAAACATAAAACAAGCGTTATTAAGCCTATCCATTACATGTTTTGTTCGTTAACTTAATTTGCTATTTTTGTTATCATATTATTAGAAATCTGACCATATAATAATGAGTAAGTTGGAATATCCCTATTTTGCAATGTCATACAATAAATCTATATCTTATGAGAGGCGTGTATTTATTTCTTTATTCTATATTCACAAACTATTGATAGCTGTTTTCATACTAATAACATAACAATTAAATAAGAAGAATTAATTAGTTCTTTAATATTTGTAAACAAAAAAACAACAATATGCAATGCTAAGCTAATCATGATGTAAAATTGAGGCTCTTATTACTATGTAGCTATAAAATAATACTTGATCGATGAATACTGATTATGTATAAATATGCTTATAATTATATAACATGACGTTCACAAAAAGTCCCTTTTTTAAGATTTATGATAAAACTTAAAAGATTCAACAATAATGATTTTTTGTATAGGAATCAAAATACAGGGTGACAAAAAAGTCTGGAAACGGCTTAATATCTTTTTAACTAAATCCGATAGAAAATTCAAAACTTTAACATTAACTTAAATATATGAAAACTACTGTTTGCAAGCATTACCATTTTTTTACCTTCACCAGGGGACGGCCCATGAGGAGTAGGTACATAATCTTTAATGTAAGCATAGGTTGATATGCACATCATTTTAAAGGTCTGGTTAAGTGGAGTTCATTGCCGGAAACCGCGTCAAAAAAGGTTCATCCGTTACAAAATGGCGGTAGTCCAAAGTTCTTGTGGAATATACCTGCACAGGTAAAATACTCATAGTCAACATTAGCCGGGAAATCTGAAAACCGGTCAAATTTGTTTTGAAGATTGAATAAGCTTAGTCTGTGAGCTAGTTGACTTAAAAATACAATTTCAGCTCTCAAGGTAATGTTTAATACGAGTATTTACCAATACTAAGGCCTGTGAAGGTATTTTCCGCAAGAACTTTAGACGGCCGCCATTTTGTAACGGATGAACCTTTTTTGACGGGGTTTCCGGCAATGAACTCCACATAACCAGACCTTTAAAATGATGTGCATATCAACCTATGCTTACATTAAATATTATGTACCTACTCCTCATGGGCCGTCCCCTGGTGAAGGTAAAAAAATGGTAATGCTTGCAAACAGTAGTTTTCATATATTTAAGTTAATGTTAAAGTTTTGAATTTTCTATCGGATTTAGTTAAAAAGATATTAAGCCGTTTCCAGACTTTTTTGTCACCCTGTATAATATATTTAAGTGCTGTTATATTGATAATAGCCAAAGATGTAGAACAAAGGGACTGATCGTAAGATATAATATATAAAATTTAGACTGATAAGTCCACTTCAATTATTGTGGACATCAGTTTTTTATACATACACTTTTTGTAAATCTTATTATCTTATAGAATAGTCATAATGGTCAACATGATGATCTACTTTTAGTATATAAAAGTTTATTTTGAACTCAAAGAAAATTCCTAAGTTCTGCACTACTTTAAGATATTTCAAAAATATATTTTTTGCAGAATTATAATTTTTTTTTGTTAAATTAATAGATAAATGATATTAATTTAAATAATAAACCTTGAATAGAGACTATATTGAATTAGTGTATATAAATATTATTATTGTAAAATATTAGACTAAGTATCTATGATACACCGTTATTAAATAACAAGTGATGTTTCAAATGGTAACCTAATATCTCACAGAACTCACAGTAAACTTAGGCTAAACATTCTGAATAATTATATCACAATACATAAAACGTTTGAAATATATTAATATTAATATCATTAAAAGGCTTAATCAATAAAATAAAACCTAACCTAAATGCTTAACATAATTAAATAATATATGTACATCACAGCCTTTTTTTCATGTGCACAAACTAAAATACTACCGGAGTTCAACACTAAACTATGGCTATATCAGACTAGCAGCTTATAACGACATTTTATACAAGAAGCGTGGCACGTTCGGCTCCGTCTGACCTTGCTGCTTAGCAGCGTAGTAAAAATATAAAATTTCAGTTACGATTCTTAAATTATTATATTAATCACATTTTCAATAGGGGTCTGCGGGCCAGGACTTTTTACTTTGGGTCGGGTCGGTTTGACAATTTTGGCTCTCGGGTTAAGGGGATCAATTGTGAAGAACAAATAGCTTATTCCCAGTCTGGAAAATTCACAATAAAATATAAAAAAAATAATGAGAGTGAGTTGAATTTAACTATTTTACTAGCTTTCATTTTTAGCCAAAGAAAAACTTTGGTTTTAGTATAGCTCTTTTTTAATTTTTTTTAAACATTAGTTAATTATTTGTAGTGCTTCATTTGGCTTATAAAATATTGAACTTGTTATTCCCTATATCATCAATCGTCAATATTTTCTCTGTACCTGACAAAATTTTGACAATCTTATGGGGTCAAACCACATCATGAACATCATCTTCTACAATCAATGAGAAATTGTGAACATCTTCCAAGATCACAGAGAAATTGTAAATTTTCTATCGCGCATCTTCGAAGATGCTTTCACGAAAAGAAGTACTCGACTCGACCAAAGCTTGACCCGCCCCAACCAACTGCTTGAGCTAACTTTTGGCCCTACCCAAAAATATCAAAGACCCGCAGACCCTTAGTTATTAAGTTGAAAAGCCGTTGAGATGGTTGTTGTCAAGATGGCACATCAAGAATGAGGGCGTCTGTAGCCAGTCATGTGGTGTCATCTGCCTAGATCTGGGGTGATGGATATCTACAAACAACAGCGATAAGTTGTAAAACGTCCACCAAAAGAGTTTTGAAACACTATCAATCATACTCACCACAATTAAATCTGTCTTAGTGCCTACACAATCTGACGTGGTAAGGAAATTGTTTGTAGAAAATCTTATCGCGAAAAAGATTAACAAAAGATTGTAGTGTTATTCTTACCTGTTTTTAAGTTGCAGCTAATTTTCTAAGAGACTGTATATTACTCTAAAAATGGGTGAGGAAAGCACAAGGGGGAGAAGTGGGGACTTTTGGGAAAATACACATCTCAACATGGTCTAACGCATAGAAAAACCCAGCTTTCCCAGAATTACTTCTGACATCTGCCTTATTTATATCTTCATTGGGCTATAAACTCAATAATACCGTCAAATTCCACCCAAGACGGACACTGTGTATATAAGGTGAGCCCTCCACTCCAGCTAAGTCACAAATTATTAAGCATTGGATTGCAAATGTATAGGATTCGAAACCGTGCATGTAGAAAGACCTCAATGTTGCACTCTTCAGTGCAACGCCTTAGCCAACTGAGCGACCATACCACCGTTAACTGAACACAACAAGTAAGACTTTAAGCACACTAGCGCTCGCAAGTAATATTCGGTGAACTAATACCCTGAGCTATACTTGGGCTTGGGTTTTAATGTGTTAGGAATTTTCAAGACAAACAAATTCAGACTGTTAAATTACATTTCAACTTGTGCTTTTTTGAGAGGTGTTTCTTAACAGTTTTTTTACGCTAATTTTAATTACACTTACCTCACTGAGAATGGCCCAGTTTTCTGTTTCGCTATGAACAGTTAATCTCAGGTGTTTGATGGGCCCAAGAATCCTAGGAACTATACCCTCTGCAACCCCCAAATTGTCAAACTTGCCTGTTGAAAATTTACATCACATTACATGACTTAATATTTAGATGCTAGCGTTTAAAACTAGTTCTAGAGTATTTTAATAAACTTTTAAACACATTATATTCCATCTTTCAAGTATATTCACAACAGTCCCATGGCATTTTAATGGACCAATACCTAAAATGCAAGCTTGTTTATTTATAGATCAAACATATTGTTATTTAAAAGAACCACTGAAGTATTTTAATGATAATCAAATATACAATGTTAAAAACATAAACTGTGCAAGGTTGTATTTATTTAACATCCAAGCTTGGGGCCTCAAAGAAAAAAAAGAAGCAATTTCACAGAGAAAATCTGTTTTGAGTTTAATTTTCAAGTTCAGCTTCTGTTCTCGGAATTGACAAAAGCGTATCCAAAAATCACGCAATCGAAAACCACTATTGATCCATAACCATAAGAGCCGTTCACGATTCCTCTGCGATCAAGGGAGATGTTCACAATATCGTCACGACTGCAACAAACGTTCATCATTTCACTGTGATCGCAGGAGACAAAAATTGTATATCTGCTACAACAGAATCTAGGAGCGCTGGTTTTGCTGGATATGGCTAGTGGACTATGGTAAATGTGGGAAAGTGAGAACTAACGTCATTAAACTGTTGCCATCAGCTGATAAATACAGGTGAGATTTGTACTCTAAAAAAAATCACCCTGAGAGTGGCACTCTTGGATTCTGGTGTAGACACTAGCAGATTTGATTTGAACACAACGTTTACTGGGTCAGTGAGACTTCTTGGTTAGCTCATTATTCTGTGGTCTTCTTACAGCTATCTGATAATCCTCACATTAAATTATGGTATATAGAGAAAAGGAAAGTTTACTCATAAAGGTTATACTGGTAGCATTGACTATTGGATACAGAAGTTGCATTAATAGTCAAAGCTGGTAGTCTCTTTTAGCATCTGATTCTCCGGATGATATTCGGTTTTCAACTGTAAGAAATGTATAAACTTAGCTCACCTATAATGACGTAACCATCTGAAGTAGTGTTGTAAGTGTCGTAGTTTGCCGGCATCCTCACTGGTGACACTTCCACTGTGGTGTTGTAAAGTTTGTCAGACGGATGTTCAGCGTTTCCGCTGCGGAACACATATCTGCAAACACAGTTTGTCACAAAACATGTGTTTGACATTCTAACTCGTTAAGTGCAGTACAGCCGTAAAGAAGTTGATTAGTGATATACACTATATTGTAAATAGAAAGATAAATAAACAATACAGATTGATACTTTCCCCTATTAGCTTGTCAAGAACAATTTAGATAATTTATGGTAGTACCTATGATATGTTGTTAAGGATAAAATCACAAAAACTACAATAACCTGTTATTTTGTTGTTTTACAGCATTGGGGTTTGCACCATTTTGTTTACTGTTGACTGGACCCTAACATTTAAAACTTTGATTAAAACTGATTGAGCCATTTTTGTGATTGTCCTTTTTTTATGTCCAAAATGGATTTTTTACCAATAGTCTAACTTGAAAATGTTGACAAAAAAATACATTCACCATGTCCTATGTAGGCTATAGGTTGGAGAATGTAAATAAATCTATAAGACCGCCATGAATCAAATTCCTTTCAAAGCATCACAGAACAATCATCATCAGCAGACATTTAAACACATAGTATTTTGTTTGATGATAAAAAAAAACCCCAAATAATTATGTTATTTTTTTAGCATAGATATTCTTGCATTGTTCTCTCCCCACATGAGGAAAATAGTCACATTGCAGGGTTGAATTTCAGCCAGAGCAAGGCCTGATGTCAAAAATATTAGGAAATCCTTTCTTCGTGGGCTTGTCATGTCATTCTAACAAATATACAACACAACCAGGGCTATCAATCAACACGTAATTATTGAAATCATCTGAAACTATTTTGTTGTTGTGGCAAACATGACTTTCTTTGACAAATGTTACATTTTAATCCACTTACTTTTTAATATAAAGTGGCGCCTTGAAGGAGAAGACTAGGTGGTCGCCTGGCTGTGGTAAAAGGCCCCAGAAGAACGTCTCACCCTCATATGCTCGCTTGAGAGTGTACTGCTTGTATGCCTTGATCTCTGTAGCCACCTCGGCATCGGGGTTGCTGTGTGGAGTGAACAGATTCACCTTACCAAACTGCTTATCCTGTCAACAACAAAAACTCAATGCAACCTACACCTCACTGGCACCTTCCTTACTTAAAATACTTATGAAAAGAGGGTGTCGGGCTACCGAAATAGTCGCAAGACTAAAAAAAAAATACTAAACTTATTCTGACCTTATACTATTGATATAACTAGAAATTCCATGCTCATAAACACGTTCAGTGCTAGGGGCGGGAACTCTCGTCCCGCTGTACCGGCACTGCAGGTGCGGGGCGGGAAATATTGTCCTCCTTGCATAACAACAATCTTGCTTCAGTGTGAGCTCAGCCTCGCACGGGGAACGTTGTTTCTGATTGCCTCTTGTTGTACCAGTTTTATACTTCAATCCAGTATAATGTCTTTTCAGATTCGACTATCTTATCGGTGGAAGGGATTGTTCTAAATTCAGTTCAGGGGTTTTGGGTTGGATGCAGTAATATGGAATGGAATAATGATGATAATTACTGCAGTTCAAACAGATAGGCCGACTTGTTGTAACCTATAGCATCTTTAGTTTCATACTTACTATTTAAATAACAAAAATAAAGGTCTAAATTTATGACTATATGAACTATGAAGGTCCATAGGCCATTGGTTTAACCTCTATTCTTTTTTAAATTCATTCAGGACTATCTTTATTACTTAAGTTGAATGCTGCAAAAATTGTCATATACATAAGTTTGATTTACAATAAATCGAACAACCTAGTAGTGTAGTACTAATTTTTAACAATAACCATGCTAACTTTTTCAATAGCTGGAGGCTCATCAAAGTATGTAACCATAAGTAACTTTACAAAACATATTGTAAAATATTAATTTAAAAACAGGTTAGTTGTAATAATAACACAGTTCCAAATGGTGTTGATTGAAAAATATTGTGGGTATTTGTAGCATTTAAGTAACATATTTCTTCAAGCAACCACATTAAAAAACATTGTGACAAATGGAAAATTTCAGATTTGAATATTTAGAATGGAATGTCAACTCAGGCAGAGTATCCGTAGTCAAATTTACTACTGTCACTGTCGAACATAAAGAAACAAAACAGTGAAATCATATCTTACCTTGAGCTTTTGTACCTTCCCCTTCAGAGAGGAGTAAGTACCAATATGTTGAAACAACGAGGGTTTATAGTGAATCCAAAGTTCTTCTTTGTCTTTCTTGCATTGTTTCTACAAACAAAAAACAACCAAACAGATTTGTTATTAGTAAGTTTGAAGATATATAGTGTTAAATTTAAATTAGGGTGTTTGAATATCTTCTAAACTATGTAAGATATGGTAGAGTAACTGTCCAAAATTCATACTCTTATTGGGCTGCAACTTTTAACAATATTTTTGTTTCGTTAACAAAAACTGTTGGCCAGCTAAAACCACTAAACCAATAAACAAAATGTTGACAATTTTATAAAACATTTTTAGGTTATGGTTGCTAGCAATCACAGACTTGTAAAAAGTAATTATTTTTTTACCTAAAACAATGTTCTCGTTCATCGACTTATGTTCTAAGAACAACTAGGGATAGCATCTTAAGCTTAGCTAGAATGGACAATTTGTTTTAACATTCTAAGATAAACCCCACAATCACATAAAATCAATCCTCACATTGTCTTTTTCTAAGTTGCAAGCCTTTGTGTGGATGACATGGTCTAGCAGCCAATCCACAGGTTTGTCATTGTAGAACATGAAGAAGAACTGGATTAGCCAAGGTAGTTCAACACAGCGAAACATTTTACCTGAAAGATTATTAGAAGTTGAACAAATTCATAAAAACAATCGCCCAACCCATCATATAGTTTAACAAATTAAGGATAAGGGTTGTGTTGGGTAAAAATTCCATACGTTGATAGTTTATAGACCAGAGGCTTATCTTTTTACAGTAGTCATGGATAGTTTACAGCTGGTCCATTCAACAAATGACATAACAATACCTCATTATATTTGGATCAAGTTTTTTCATAAGAAGATGATAACAAGACTCCTTAGAATAATTAAACTAAAAATAAAGTTTGAGCATTAATTTCAAAATGTACTAAGTAAAAATGTTCATGTATAGAAATTAACAGAATAATTTTGAATCCCTTATTGCCATGTTGAAGCGTATTACTTAGCAGGTTCGCTAACATGATAGACATGATAGATAGTAGGGTGATCAAAATAGACGGACCCTAATATTGAACTTCATTGATAGACTGGAGGTATTAAATTGCTCAGTAGCTCAGACCGGGAATAGAAACCTGTTATAACCAAGTGATATGCAATATTCTAGTTTCCAACACTGTTACCTCTACTTGCTTGTTGCTTTTGTTTCCATAGTTTTGACGAATTTTTAAAACGAGGCATATGTGAGACAATGGTTTATAGCAAAAATATATAATACAATTCTACTATGGACCAATTGTGTCTTATTTGCTCAGCCTATATTAAACCCAACTATGACGCATAGCGCCACTATTTTATATAGTGCCACACAACAAAATCGTCTGCCTTTCCGATCAGCGTGCCTCTTTCAGTCTGCTGCTTGCTTTTCCTGAGAAACGGTCAAGGAGTAACGGGATCGAGATTTCCTACGTCTTATCTCTGGTAGGATTAGCTGCCAATCTTCCCTTTTCTAATCTAACCGAACTTCAAGGCCCTGTTAAATCAGGATAAGTCCTTAAAAAATATTAAGTAGAACTAAGATTAAGATGACAGGCTAGATTAACAATTTAAGGGGAAGCCAGCAGGCTTTCGCCCTATTCGCAGAAAATTAAATTCCAAAAATTATGCCTCGTTAAAAGAGGTAATCATTCCTAGACATGCAATAGTCACCACGTTGAAAATCTAAGTATTAAATCATTCAGGAATCGCCTTAGGAGTCAAAATTCGTTCAATAAGGAGCGCAATAGACCTATTTTATCATCTTCTCAATTTTCACACTATTTAGCAGTTTAGTTTGGAGGGTTAGTTATAGTTCTGTTTTCTAGTTAAATTATAAGTAATCAAAGCTGGCTTGGCCTGCTTCTGGTCTGGGTAAAGATTTCCGCCCTCTGGTTCCCCAACAACGTTTCCTATTAATCTGTCATTATATGATGGTAGCAGAGGATAGCACGTTCTTAATTGCAACATGCTAGGGTTCTCCAGGCCCTAGCACCACAGTCAGGCAGTTACCTACACACATTCACTCAATTGCAATCAATACATCACATCTCCACAGAATTCATTAGTTTCCGCCCCAATTCCCCCCTTCAAGCTACACAACGCTGCAAAAACCAACTAAAACACAACTGCTGAGAACAAACATGGACACAGTATAACCTCAACTTCACTGGGAAACAAGTGGTACAGCAATGATTCAAATAAGCACGTGGGAGCAGATACAATAAAATGAAAACAGGTGTACCAACTATATGGTGTTATACTGAATATACCAACTGTCAAATCCAGAGACCAAGTGTCCCATATATGTGTCATATATCCCCAAAGACCGATATAAAATATCATGGCTTAAAAATTGATTGATAGGATCTGAAATGTATTTAAATGAGGGGACACTGGTACACATGTGGGACGTCGGTCTATTGGAATGGCCTGAGCGGCGCACTTTTGGGACGGTCATATTAAAAGTTGCCTCCATTAGGTAGTTTTAAAACGTGTTACCTATGAAACCCAGCTGGCAAAAGTCTAAGACGAACCACTGTTGCTTGTTGGCTATTCGCTCCAGAGCAATAGTCTTCATTGTAGTAACAAACTGTGGCTTGACCAAAATATCATCCTCCAGTTGTATGTAGAACATACCCTTGGGTTGGGCATACATCATCAGGAAGGCAAAGTCTAGGTTCTGCTTGGATCTCCACTTCACCCTTTCCTGTAATGATCATCAGAGTCATAAACTTATATGATGGGTTATATGGTGCGCTAAAATAGTATTCAGTGATAGTGTATAGAACAAATTCATCAACTAATCCATCAGGAAATATTGTTTACCAATTGGTTTGTTTAAGAGATGCAGGGGCGGCGGAAGCAAAATTTTGTTAGGGGGTCAGAAACCTATGGCGGAGGTCCACATCCGGGGGGTCTGGGGGGTATGGAATACCCCCCAGGGGACAAGGGGGGTCCGGGAAAAATAGAAGCCTCCCCCTCCTTAACTCCCCCGGGAAAATTTTGAAAAATAGAAGCCTTAAAACGTGTTTTTAGGCTACCTGAAGAACATTTTTCTTCAAGCAGTAACAAAGAAAATTTACACTTTAACAAAGACGCTACTCTGTTCATTAAAAAAACATTATAATAAATAATACACACACATCTCAAACAAACAAAAAATGAAGTACTGGTGCCCAGATTTTACTAAAGCCCCCCATACACTATCCAACATGTTGGACGGACATGTCGGGATCCGACGTCTTGTCGAACATATTGGACAGTGTGTGGGTTCCGACCCGACATGCTTGACGGATATGTCAGGTCGGATGCTCGGTCCGATAGCACCACCCGACTCGAGCCGTCCGCCTGAAATTGGAGCCACAGTTTCCAGTAAACTTGTATTTAGCGAGTTGTGCGTGATGTGATAACCGTCCCATTTTTCCATAATGTCATTAAATAATAAACAGTTCTGGTCAGAATTTATTTAACTCTACAGAGACTAGAAGGCGTTGTGGGCTGTCAAAAGTAAACTCTATTGCAACAAACATGCACATAGGGGCACGATATCCTGATGGAAAAGTAAATTAAAGTTCGTTAAAAATAAAATTGAAAATTTAAGAGCCTAGTTCCATATGCTCTAAAAATCCCTAAAACCATCGCTAAAAATCCCCCTGAAACAGCTAACAGTCGTCTCAAAATCCATCTCAGATCTAATATTTCACCTGACTTGTTGGGTGACATGCTCGACAGTGTGTGGGAAACACCCGACATAAGTCAGGTTGGATGATGGGTCCGTCGTCAGGTCAGGTTGTCAGGTCGGGTGGCATGTTCGATAGTGTATGGGGGGCTTAAAGCTGTCAGCAATGAGTTGCTGCAGATGACAGAGAAGAGTAAACAAGCTCTAAGCCCTAGGGATTTATGTGTTCGCGTAATTTCGGCAGGCTCTGCCCCGCCCCTCCCCCTCAAAACTGAATTAATAATAAGTTAAATTAAAATTGGCTGCTTGATTATAGTTAATCACAAAAGTAAGACGGTAGGGTATAACCAAGTAAGTGTGTCCACTGGGGCTAAATAATGGTTTACACAAAAAACATTACAAACATTGTATTGGCACAACATAAAATTACTAAGAAATACAAAACCTTTTTGATGAACTATTGCTAAAATAAGTAAAATCCCACACGAGAATCTCAAGATATTAGCCTACTACAAGTTTACTAGATTTGTAAACTTCTGCTGATGAAACTTCAGTAGGCCCTAACTTGAACTTCAGTCTTTGAAATTCCCGAAAACTGCACAGCGACTTTCAACTCTATTGACAAACATTCTTGCAATGTGCTTATCATCAATAGATTTAGCAATGTCCCTATGGACGGATAAGATGGCAAGATGGTTCAATCTCTTCTGCGTCATCGTGGAACGCAGCCACGTTTTCAAGCGACGAAGACAGGAAAAGGTTCTTTCTGCAGTTGCTGCAGACGCTGGTAAGACAAAGCAGTAACTTGACAACCTTTACTACTTCAGACAAAAATCGTTTGTTTTCTTGAGGCTCACTATTTAAAGTCACAACTAAATCTCGTACACTTTTAACTTCCTTCTTTTTTGGTAAATCTTGTAGACGGTTTAATTGGCTTGTAAGCTTTTTCTTGTCCAAGTCAGTAATTAACTCTCCAGGAATTAACCCAAAATTCCAATACGATCATGAACATCAATTAAATTAATTATTACTTTAATAAGGTTTTGTGAGTATTAAGCCCCTTCATAATAAATGTAATAGATTATTATTAATAACTAAATTGTTTATCTTTGTACTTAACTTCAGTAACTGTTATTAGGCCTACTTATACTTTTCTTCTTGGGCCGAAAAAATAAACGTATACAGTACAGAATGCTTTATATCTTTAATTTTTTTTATATGAACCCATGACCCTTGACCCCCCTGACCCTTCCTAAAATTTCAGGGGGGTCAACTGACCCCCCTGACCCCCTGGTTCCGCCGCCACTGAAGAGATGTGTCTATTCTCGATACCACCGATACTTAGACTAGGTATTGGTATGGAGAGTCGATCATATTAATACATATGACTATATATACTATATAAGGTATATATAGGTCAATCAGGTCGTTCATTTCGTAAAAGGTATGTAGAACATCTCCCCAAGCCTAAATTGCAAACACAAAAATCTAAGTTTGCAGAACACCTAATGAACGAAAATCACAATGTCAACAGTTGCATAGATAATTTAGAGATATTACACAAATGTAATAAAGGTAACAAAATGAACGTTCTTGAAACCTTTGAAATTTACAAGGCAATCAAAAATTCCCCAAATGATGTTTTGAACGAGAAGTTAAATTTTGGATCAAACATTTTATTTGACAGAGTGACAAACCTACAGAACAATAGACGAGATAAATAGCTGATTCCCCTCCCCCAAGGTCAACACCATCAAGTAGGCATCGGCTAACCTACACTCTTATCAAACCCCGCAGTCTGGTTTTGTCCTTGGCCGGCCACACGCGAATGTACATGTCTTTGTATTGTATTATAAACGTTTTCGTATGTGTTATGTTTATGTGTGAAATAACTTTGACGACGGCTTGTGCAGGAAGATATGTTTGACATATGACGACTGAAAGAGAAGATTTGAAAATGGGGTTTTAGCCCCGAAACTAGTCATTGACAATACATAGGACTAATTGACGACAGGTTAGTAACCTCATTTTAAGTGATCATATTAAGTCAATACCCGAATCGTCAAAGATCCCGAGATTCTGCTTTTTCTGCGATCGCGCATAACAACTTAGACATTACCGTGATCGCGGGATGTACAGTGATGATGTCTAAACGGCTGCAGAAGATGATCAGAATTTTCCGACTAAAAAAGAAAAAATGAAACTATCCACACCACCTCAGAAAAAGAACAGAATTTTCCCAAATCGCAGGAGACGATGATGTCTAGGCGACCTCGGAAGATGATAATGATGTATACACGACTGTGGGAGGTGATCAGAATTTTGCCGTGATAGCAGTGTTTGTGAGATATGATAATGAAGTCTCGGATTTAGCATTATTTTTACCTTCGATAGGGTATTTTTTTAACGTGTTAAAAAAGGGGTTGGACTTTAATAGACTACCTTGAACTTTTCATTCCTGCATTATGTCTTTACCTGGGAAAAACCCAAATACCCCAAAACTTATGGAAGGAAAGAAAGACAAAGGTTGGTGTAGTATAACCAATTACAAGAATATATATATAAAGGATTACGTCAAATAAAAAAAAATGGTATCGGTATCTAAAACAGATTTGTTAGGTATCAAGAATCGATCAGTTTTGGTATCAAGATCATAAGTATGTACAACAAAGTATCAGCTGTTTTATAGATGAGGAAAATAACCTCACGATATTTTGAGGTGATGAAGAATTCAACTTTACTTAGTTGTTGAACAAATTTTAACAGTTTTAGTGAGCATTTCTAGTTGAGGCTTCTTACCTTGGAGTCCCCAAGAGTAACCCTCAGGCTGTTCCAGTCTGGGTAGTAGGATGCTGTAGGAGCAATGATCTCTATCAGCCCAGTCTCCACCTCCTCTACAAAGCTGATGAACAATTGTTATAGTATTTTGAAAAAATGGCCATAAATAAATCACACTTCAGGACCATCTTCTGAAGGAATAGTTTGTGTGAATGTTTTTTTAGTGTTGATTCTGTCAACTCATGAGAGTTATCAATCGTCTAATCCCAAAATTTGCGATTTTTTTAAACTTCAGAATGGTCAAACAGTTATTTTTCAAAACGTTGGCCTATTGCAAATACATGTTCCCACTTTTATGAGTAAATCCATGCACTTGCTTTTAAGCTCCTAAAAAAATTCTATCAAAAATAATATTTCTTTAGTTTAGGCTATAATAAAGGTAGCATAGGACTTAAATCGATACCAAATTCTAAGGTGACTTTCTTTATGATAAACATGTAGCAACTTAGTTTCTGCTGACACACTGAGGAACTTAGTTCCTGGCAACTGAGGACAACTGATGGTAATTTTTTTTTATTAAGAGGCTAAAGTATGTACTAGAAGAACATTTTACTGGCAACAGCCCAGCCTCTTTGATCACCTCTTAATCTAGACTTATTAGTGATAAAGTGTATTTTATATCATATTCCCATGAAATAATCTGATCTTTAAAAAAGTTCAAATATTCTTTCCTTCTTTTACAGACTTAAGAATACCATCAGCTAATTTTAACATAAAACCTAATGTATTTGAGATACAATACTCATCATTGAATACAAAATCGCATGGTGAATTATTTCCACCAAACAATGCTATTCAACCAATGTAAATTATACTTACTGGTCTCTAACTTCATTTGCAACTTGATTTACATATTCTTCATCAGTCTGGAACAAAAGGAAACAAACATGGTTATTATTCCAAACTTTGATTTCTTGCATCCTCCAAGTCAAATAATTGTTTAGTAACTTAGATGGTTAATTTTGGTGGTTTGTTGATATAGAAACATTTATTCCATCTCAATTTAAAATTTATATAACAAATTTTAAAACTTTTTTTATATTTTCTTTCTGATTACATAAAAAAAACAATTTATCTCGTCTAAAACGGCAACAATTTACATATGGTATATTCAATTGAAATTAATTAACTTCATTTCTTTTTTGTTAGTAAAAATTAATATTGGCAGTTTCATTCACTCAAAGAGCAGTTTTATCAAAATTTAAATAGTATACATAATAGATTTCTTACAAAAATCTTAAGATAAGATAAAATCTATTCAAAACCAAAATATTACAAGATAAAATACTTCAGATATAAATCCATACAACTGAAACAATTAAAATCCAAGACAGCAAATGTTCCATAGCTTTGCAGGTGTCATTAGAGTATTACACATTCTCATACGATTTGTAGCCTGAAACAATAACCGAGGGAATGCAAGCTGGACTCATTTACACGTTGGATTTCACATGAATAGCTTCAGCAGCAGCATTCAAGAGTACTCATTAAAATAAAATACTGTATTTATGTTTCAACTGATGCTTTGAAATTTGTTTTTGTATTCTAACAGCAACAGACGCAAGAGGTGAACTTCACTTTGCATATGTGATGTAGAAGCAGGAAATTAATTCTTACAATGTTTAGTTTCAATTACAGTAGTTGTAACTTAGTTGACGTGTAAATTTTTGTTCTTCTTCTTTTTGTTTCTTGTTGGGAGTGTTATTAAGAAAAAACTAATTATGTCAGAGGTACAGTAACATTGAGATAAATGTTGCTTTAAAGTGGTGTAATTAATCCACAAACTTTCACAAAACCTGTTTTCTAACAACTTTACAACAAAAGTTGTTTTAAATTATTGTGTTTGTAAGGAAAAGGTATTAAAAAATACCCCCGCCGCAGCAAACCTGCCGTCTAAGCGAATTTCCATTTGGCTGAATTGATTTTCAATCGATCTATTTAAATAACATTAGGTTTAACGAGTACCTAGGTTTGCTGCTACAAGGAAACTAATAAAGTGTGTGTTTTAAGTAAAATAATTATTGCTTAGTAGAAAATGAATATATTTGCCAAGTTTGATCAAAAGATATCCATAATCAAGCAAACTACAACATGTTACAATATTCTCCATAAGAATAACATGGGAATTTTAAATTTACAATTTTTTTAGTTTTCTCCGTAACCAATAACCGTACAAAAACACTTTGACATACTGAATTGTTTGTTTTTTAAGCTCTTTAAGAAGGATTAGAGAAAAATTGGGAAATTTTGTGTTTTGAGGGTCAAAAGTGAGAAAAACCAATTTTTACCCCATAAAACCCCCCATAAAACCCTGTTCCCATGGTCCGATCATGCTGGATCGCGAACTCATTCAAGTTTATCCCGCATTACACCTTCAAACCAAATTTCATCAAAATCGGATAAAAATTACTCAAGTTATCGTGTTCACGGACACATATATATATAAATCTATATATATATACCTATATTGTAAAGAAAAAAAATAAACGTTCTTTACTTACTTATTACTTCAAAATATACTCTTTACATTAATTGATCATTCCATCACTAAAATCGCCTCACACCTTTATGTAATGCAATTTGGCTATTCCATATAGGTGTGAGTACAACAAAAAGTTGCCCCCTGGTGGGGGGGTTTCAATGAATTTAATTTAGTTGATCAGACAACTGAGGACCAATCACAGAGCCGGCAGTGGAAGTAAGATGTTGTATTGAGCCCTGATAATTGTGTATCCCAGAAGTCCGATTTATGGACCGTTGAGAGGTCTGATATGTCCTCCTGAAAGTGCTTTCAATAATCTTAAACGTAACACTTCTTAAGATGCAATAAAAAGTATATCAAATACTCTGAATGCAAAATTACACTCTTTGTTGAAACTTTGTTAAAACATTGGTTTTGACTCTGAAATATTGAAACGATTATGCGAAATATTGATGAACCAATATATAATAAATTATGTGTCAATTGACTACTTAATGATATTGTACTTTATTGCAATTGTTCGGTTAAGCCGATTACCTTGAAAAGATTAACACAGGAGAATTAATAAAATTGATGAAAGAATAAGCTTTGTGTATTATCACTATAAATAATACAAATATTACAAATAATCAATATTAATATTCAAGTTTCTGCTAAAATTAATAATATTCAAGTTTCAGCTATAATTAATAATATTCTAGTTTCTACTAATTACACTTCAATTTAATGTGAGAGAGTATTGATTGTGGTCTTTTTGACTTTCTTTCCTGAAATATTGACAGCAGAGCCTCGGGAACCTAGGTTTAATTTATTCAATCTGTTTTAGGCTATTAGGCTTCCCAAAGTATGGTATTTACTTACAACTGGCCAGTTGATCTTATGTGCAAAGGGACTATTCGTAGATCTGTGTACAGCACACTTTGTTGCTCAGTAGCAAACTGGACCAAAACGACTACTGAGTCGTTTGTTTAATTTAAGTTAAAAATATGATTTTTATGGCGTTAATGGAAGCCTACCTTGTAGCCTGTATTGACACCTAACCTTCAACCGGGACAATGCTCTGATTGAAACCTGAATTTGCACCCAATCAAATACTCTCAGTGATCTCTTTATGTATTTTTGAAGTGATTTCAAACCCAAATATTAAAGCAAGAACAAATTGTAACAGTTTTACGTGACAGACAGCTGATTACCCTAACAATATAATTTGAATTTAAGCACAAAACTAATATGAAATTTAACTGGTATAAAAATTTACCCAAATTATTAATATAACAATATCTACAAATGTATCACAGTATGTATTTTAAAATAAGTAAATGGCAATAATTCTAAAGCAATGTGACTGAATTTACACACTAAGACATGAGACCTGCAAGAAACATGATTAAACAAATATGAATGTGGACAGATTGGCTTCTCCTAATGATATAAATACAATTTACACAAAACATTTACTTACATACACAGAAGACAATTTTGACGACACATAAACATATAATTACGACACTGTACTTGGGATAGGCTCTACGAAAATGGTCAAATCTGACGAATTTTGCCGGTCGACGTCGAACTTAAAGACTCGTTTTGTTTCAATTCGTAATTTAGTAAATGCTGTTTCACGGTTTTAGATATCAATGCACTCCGGAGATCGAACAATTGATTCGTTGACGAAATACACGTTACGACTACCAAAAGTGATTTTTGCAAATTGAAAAGGAGAATTTAAAGATTTCCGTACATCGCGGCTCAGAGCTTGGTCCCAAGTGACCGTTAGAAAAAGACGTCCGCACAAGTCAGCAATTGGTGTTCCTCCGCGCTCACGTGATTGGCCGTTGTTGGTCCTTGCCTTCGCGCGTTTTCAGTTTGATTTGAATTTTCATTTGGTCATTCATTTTGAATCGGTACAATATATATATATATATATACATATATAAAAATTTGAACGAATGGTGTTTTTGGCCTCTGGGGACATCAAAATGAAAAAGTAAATCGGTCCCGGGCCTAAGTCTTACCATGAGACCTACGGTAATAGCTACTTTCCTATAGGGAAATTCGCTAAAAATCAAAACCCGTACTTAATTTACTGTAACTTTTTGCAATGGCCACTTTATTACCCAACCGTTTTTTAAAGTGTCACAATTCAATAAGTAAAAGAGAATTCTATTTACATTTCATTTCATACTACAACCTGAGGTATTTAAAAAAATAGTAAGTTCTTCAAATGCGAAAAATAAACTTTAAAACCCCACTTTGAGAAGGTTAAATCAAGTCAAATTTTCGAGCTAAAGAATGTCTATGATAGATACAAGTAGATATCCTGTTCCCAAGTCAATCTGTCACCAGTATTAGAATTCAAATGAACGACAGAACACGTCAATCGATATCATTCTCTTCCGTTGTGTACATAAACTTTTCAACTAAACTAAACTGAATGTTCCAAAAATAAGAATGTTTAATGTGTCCACATAAAATATAGTACCTAAAATTAAAGAAGAAAATTGAATTTTCAACAGCAGCACACTCTGCAAAAGTCTTATTCAACTGTGTCCTTCACTAATTAAAAATTAGCAACAGTCATTGTGGTCTATTGATTTATAGATGGAATGTCTAGTAACCAAAAGTCAATGATAATATCTTCTATGAACATCTAGTTTACAGTCGTCATACCTCAGCTATGAAGACCACAATGACGACATCCTCTTCCTCTTCCTGTGTCATACTATCCAGGATGTTCTGCAAGGTTGCCAACAAGTAGCTTTGGACTTCTCTCTTGACTGTGGGGATCCCCAGCACGACAGACACTGTGGCAATTACAAGTAAATCAGCTGTTTAACACTTACCCAGCACGACAGACACTGTGGCAAATCACAAGAAATCAGCTGTCAAATGGTCATTGGCTTGTCATGACAGAATGGTGTAAAACATCTGTCAGTTGAGAAGGATGTTTATGTAAGTGTTTGACAATAGGTTATTTGTGATTTCACACTGGGTGCTGGTGGTAATTACAACACTGTTTTGAAACATTTTAGGGCAAACAGAATTACTTATAATATAAAATATGGTCAAAATTCAAATTAAAACATATTTATTTATAGTATTGCATTGGCTTGGCTTCGCGAAATACACAAAACTTGTCAGCGATATCCAATTCATTAAATAAGTAACAAACAATTTTGGATATGGAAATTGGACTCAGTTGTAGATAAGGCAGCAAATAGTACGCAGAGGGTAGTCTCAGCACTTGGGCAGCATCTTCTCTATCCTGACATGTTCCTCAGCAATGGATGTATATTTAACTCACCTCCAGACCGTCCCCTGGATATGCTGATAGCAGGCCGTAGACTGGATGGACTCAGCAGTAGATGTGGCAGGAAGTGGTACGCAGAGGGTAGTCTCAGCACTTGAGCAGCATCTCCTCCACCTGGCTTCAGTCCTGTCATGTTCCTCAGCAATGTACGAGCCTCAGGACTAAGCTGCAGAGGCAGTGAAGTGCTGAGGTTACCACCAGGAGGTACCGTCTCCATCAGCAGCTGACCTAGTTGCTGTGTCAGCACGTGCACATCTTCTTCCCTCTCTCTGAAATGCATGTTTTTAGATGATTGACTATTATAATCTAACTTTTAAAATAATTTAAACTAAACCCTGTCTCAAGTTGGGGTGGAACAGGACAATGACTCGGCAAGTAAAGGATTTACTTGGGTTGCAAGTAAATGGATTGATTAAACATGTAAATATAATGAATGATTTGAATTACTACCAAAAGCAAACTATAACAGTTTTTTTTTTTTACGTATCCCAATTTACAAGTAGCGATAAACACTTATCAGTAGGTTGGTTTTCTTTAACTCATTGCCGATCAGCTGATATACATTTTTGACTAGGCAGTCCAGTGTTATTGGGAATTTATTGTGGATAGGATGCAACATGGTGTTTTTGCAAGCTCAAAGAGTATGAATTGTAGAAAAATACATAGAAAGTTGAGTGATTCCAGTATCTGATAAATCAAATATTTATAGACTTACCAAAAATTTAAGGAAATCGGGTCTGTAGAACACAAAATGTAGAACACATGTCATACTCAACAGAGTTATTACACTTTAGAACCACACATAGACCCATAGGAAGCCATTGGTGAATAAGTAGCCTTTGTATTTTATAAGAAAGAAATGTGCACCAGTGCAGACAAAAATTGGTTCGGGGGTCCCCCAAATGTCACATATTGCCAGGTTTACCTAGTGAATGTTTCATAAATGTCCTAATGTTTAAAAGACAACCAGAAAACAGATCCAAAGACATCAGTTTTTAAAGTCGGACCTACAAACATATCTGACTTTCAAATTAACTCCCTGTTGCTCTTTTATGTTTGTTTCAAATGATTAACTAAGTATATCCGCACCTGTACATGGCTTCCAGATGCTGCAACTTCAACTGTAACTCTGCTATCCTCTGCACCACAGCTTGTTCCTGAGTCATATCTGGGGACAGAAAAAAGCATTATAAGATCATATAATATATTAAACCTTGTACATTTAAGAACCTTCATACTATTCCCTTGTAGCAACTAATGTATTGGGTACTGAAAGAACTGTATACAGATGACAAGAACGCCATTGGATATACAGGATATTTTCAAATTATAATATTGTTGTTTAGCATGAGGATACACCTGCAAACCTGTACGGATTCTTTTTTCTGTTTGTTCACAGGAAAAAATCCTAGGACATTTACATGATTTAGCTGGTTCGCACACCAACAGATTAGATAATGTGAGAAATGTATTTTTTGACACTACAGTTACACTCAAACCACAGACTAACATGCAAAGAACATTTAAATTAAGTTGATTATGTTTATTAAGAAACATTAAAAACTCGGAAAAGTTCAAAAGATTGCAAAAGTTTGAGTAAAAGTTTCTGGTGACTCTGAAAAGTTAATGTTAGTCCTGTTTTCCTTGTAAATTATATATAGGAGAAACAGTGAACAGTAGATAAAATAAATATCTAAGGAAATTCCGAAACCACATCTTGTTCAGATCTTAATGAGTAAAAAGTTTTAAGTCACAGTATTTTTTTAAATATTTGATAAGGTACAGTTATTGTGATAAATTAAGGGAATTTCAAACTTTAAAAATCAATTTTAAAATATTTCATTTACAATATGTTTATAACGTTAGAAAAACAAGAAATTTTGATGAAATTTCTGATTTGAGACTATGCAGTTGTTTCATTAATTCACAACGGTGCTTAAAATAATGCTGGTGCTTAGTTTCATTCATTCACATTTCATAATGTGAATTGTAGGTCCAATCAACATTTAAAAAGAGATATAACAATAACATGAGGGTGTCATAATCATTAAAATTTAATAATAGTATCAATTACTAAACTGTTTAATACATTAACAAAATCAAGTTGCTTGCAGGTTAATTATTGTTACAATATTGCCCGTTAATGTAGATGTTCCATGCTGCTGTAAAGCATTAACACACACATAAAAATGTTGTATAACTATTCTCGCAACATAACTGTAATCATCCATCGTTATAATTATCCTAAAAAGCTTTAACGTAGCTTTTGCGTAAGAATAACAATCTAGAAATAATGAAGGTGACAAGGTTCCTCTTGTAAAGCCTTCTTATTCTAGAGAAGCACTTATAATTCAAGAACTCTTAAGCCTGATATTAGACTTAACATTATTCAGCTCCACTGTGAGGTGGTTTGTGAACCCAACCATTTATCACAAAGTTGGAAGTTCTGACCTAAATCCATTATCGCATCAAGGTAGTTTTTCAGATTTTGCTCAAACGTTCAGTAATTTTATAAAAACAACCGTTATTTTTAAGGGTGAAATGAAATGAAATGAAAATCCTTCTTTATTGAGGCGAACTTAGGACCTCATGGTCCTTTCTTACAGTTAACCTCTAAATAATAATAGTAATAACAATAATACATGATATGAACAAAAGTAAAATACACATTTCGTAACATAATTAATAATAAACAACATAACATACATTTATTTTCCTAGCATACAGTCACACACACATACACTCTTTGCAGCAGCTAAGCCTAACGCACGCCATCCCGCCACGCCACTACCATCCGGTTGAGATAATATTCTTTCAGTGTCGCCTTCAGTCGGGATCGGTTTTCTATGGATTTAATGGCATCGGGTATAGAGTTCCATAGGCGGCATGCTGTGACTACAAATGATTTATTATAAATAGTTGTTCTGTGACGAGGAATGCGCAACGTAGACGAGCCAGAGCGAGTATCCCTTGCACCTCTTTCATTCAAAAATTCAAAATTCTTTGCAATGTAATTTGGAATTCCAAGATTGATAGCCGAATGAGTGATTGAAAGTATTCGGAGTTTTCTGAGGTCATCTAATTTCAAAATTGATTCATTTATGTAATAAGGTGTGACGTGGTCGTCCTGCCTAAGGTCAAGCAGAAATCTAATACAATAATTTTGTGCACGTTGTAGTTTTGTTGCCAAAGCCACAGTCATATCATTAACCACAGTGTTGCAGTAATTGAAGTGTGGAAACACAAGTGATTTGACCAGTAAGAGTTTAATGTGAAAAGGAAGGAGTCGTTGCATCTTCTTCATTGTGTGAATGGCGGCAAATACTCTTTTACAAGTATCTACCACCGCGTCAGTCCAGTCTAATGTGCGGTTCATCAGCAATCCAAGACTTTTGATTTTGTTTTGATATTGCAAAGTAATTCCATTTACAGTGAGTTTTGGTAAATTGTCTTCTTCAAGTTTGTTTAGTAAACGTGAGTGACCTATAATGATTGGTTTTGTTTTGTCAGGATTGAGTCTAAGTCCATTCTGTGCTGCCCATTGAACAATGTTGTCAATGTCGTGATTCATTATGTCTATAGCTTCATTTATATCGCTGACTTTAAAATGAGAATAAATTTGCAGGTCATCAGCATAAAAATGAAACTTTACGTGGTGTAGTACTGTACTAATGTCATTAATGTAAACAGTGAAAAGTAGTGGGCCAAGAATTGAACCCTGAGGAACTCCACAGGGAACATTTCTCCAGTCGGACGTCAAGTTGTCATGACATACACACTGCTTTCGGCTCTGAAGATATGATCTCATCCATTTTAGTGAATTATCAGAAAAACCTAAAAGTTGGAGTTTGGCTAGAAGAATGCTATGATTTACAGTATCGAAAGCTTTGCTGAAGTCAAATAAGGTTAAAATAGTGCATTGGCTGTGATCCATAGCAAATCGTATTTCATCAGTTATATGGAGCATCGCTGTTTCAGTGCTGTAATATTTACGAAATCCAGATTGGAAACTGTTGAGGATATTGTTTACTGACAAGAATTCGGAAACTTGAGAATGGACAATTCTTTCAAGAGCTTTAGAAAGAGCTGGAAGAATACTAATTGGTCGGTAGTCTTGCGGAAGTGATGGGGATGAGATCTTATTCAATGGGCGGACAAGCGCAGTCTTCCATTTTTCTGGGAAAATACCTGATCTGAGTGAGGTGTTGAATATGAAGGTTAATGTTGGGAGGAGAGCAAACAAGATACGTTTAATCAACGAAATCGAGATTCTGTCAGAACCAGTGGCATCAGACGTTATCCGCCTTATAGCCTTCAAAACATCAATCTGCAATATTGGCTTGAAGTTAAATTGAGGAATAGTATTGGGCAAGTGACGTGATTTTAACTGAGTTAAATGGTTCTGTACTACTGTGACGTTTGCATTTGACGAAACTGATAAGAAAAAATCGTTTAAATCATTCAATGGTATTGTTATTGGAACAGGTTTAACTTCTTTTCCAAGTCCAAAACGTTTCAGATTACGCCAGCGAACAGCAGAAGATTGTTTTCCTTCGGAAAACAATCTATGAAAGTACTGAAGTCGAGAGTTGCGCAAATGTTGTTTAACTTGATTTCTAAGCTGGCGATACTGGGCCATAAGCCCCTGGTCTCTAGTTCTTTTAGCTCTGCGATGGACTGAATCCCGCCGAGTCATTAACCTAATAATCTCCTCAGTGATCCACGGAACGGGGCGACTTTTACTAACCCTACGGTTCACAATTGGAGCGTGTTTGTCGTATAATTTTATTATGGTTTCATTAAGTGAATCAACCATATCATCAACTGACTCCAGGGTATGTATGGAGTGCCAAGGTATTGATATAACTTCTGACAAAAACTCTGCTTCATTAAAATTTTTAAAATTTCTGTAAGAGATGAATTTTTGTTTGGGCTTAGGAGCTCTCATGGCAAGGGCGCAATAAATTAGGTCATGTCGTGAAATGGCAGGAACTGGAAGCTGGCCATGGTGGACTGAAAATTCGGGATCACTTAAAATAATAAGGTCTAGTATTGTATCAGCTTCAGCAGTGTGATGCGTCGGGTCCAGTGGGAGTATCGTCATGTTGCAAGAGTCAAACATGTTTGTCAATTGTCTTCAGTAGTAACTTCCAGGTTTGAGTAAGTCACAGTTAAAGTCACCCATGATCAAGACACGACTGTAGCCTGGCATGAGGCGCAAGAGAGAATTTTCAAAGTCGGCCAGATGACCCACTCCCGGAGGGCGGTAACATGCCCCCAGGAGAAGAGCATCTGAACCACACAAACCAATTTCTAAAAAAATAAATTCGGGTTTCGCCAAGTACTCACCCGGGGACTCGCACAACTGCCTGGCTTGCAAACCATCTTTTACATAGACAGCGACGCCACCACCTATTTTTCCCAGGCGATCATTTCTGAAAATTGAATAGCCAGGCAGTGCAATCAATCCAGATGAAATACTTGGCTTCAACCAAGTTTCAGAAACTGCAATAATTTCGAAATTTTGAGGCCGAAAAATTACCCTGACTTCGTCTATGTGTTTTGAGAGTGATTGGGCGTTGATGTGAGCGGCTTTAAATTGTTTGGAGAAGGGAGTGAGGTTGTCGATAAGGATCTGAGCGTTATCAGTAGGGAGTGGAGTGGGCGGGGGAGGGGTGACTGAGGCGACGCTGTGCAGGTCCGCTATCCTGGACCTACAGGGGGTGTAGCAATTCAGTTTGAATTCAATAATTTTTTTGTAAGCAATTTGTTTATACTGTAATTTTTTAAGCTGAAACTGCTGAGTTTAACCTTGTTAGCAGGATCCAAACAAAATTAAAACTTTTATTAATTAAATTTAGAAAGTTTTTAATATTTCACTGCCTCTAAAATTAAACAATAAGTAAATAATATTCCAAATAAAATTTGTTACAAAACTTACAGTTGAAATAAGAAAGTATAAAACTTTTCCTTGAGCACAGTCAAGGAGAAATAAGAGATATTACAATGCAAAATGAGGCAATTAAACAGGTATTGTTGGTTTAAAAGAGCGAGGTTTGAGTTGATTGCAAACATTTCTCTTTGGTTTCGCTCGGTTCAACTTACAGAACAATAATGTTAATTGGGCATTTAACTTTTGCTGTTAATTCAAAAGTATCACGGGTAAAA